TACACCGAAAGGGTAAACAGAGTAAACCCTGTCCTGTGACAGAAAGATGACCATGAATGAATAGCAATCTGACATGCATCTCATTTACACACAATTGTACAAGGATAAAACTATTTTACCTATATCTCTGCTGTGTATCATCCACAAAATGAATTTCTTCACTGGAAAATAAGTAGAGCTAGTAAAAAAAACCAAACAACCAAAACCTTGAAATCCAAATTTTTTCAACAAAGTAAGGGCACTTTTTAAAGAAAATTTCCCTGTTTCGCTTCAGTTAATTTAGTAATCACATCCACATCATAAAAGCTTATCTCATCTTATCTAGTATGTAGACGCTGAGGAAAAAGAAGGAAGGGGGGGTGTCACATCTCTGTCAAGGGCTGAACAGTTAGCATGTATCAGAGTAACTGCAAATACCAGAGACTTAATTGCAGTCTTGTAGCCTTTGTGCAAAATTTGTCGTATTTTAACTTGCTAGTTGCCACAGAAACTTCAGTCAGAATATCTATTTTCATTTCAAAATTCCTCAGTTTCAAGAAGAAAACAAAGATATTTCTCAAGAAGTTTTCAGCTGTTGCAAAACTCATCTTAATTTTCAGCAATAGTATTCCCAAATGAATCAGAAATATCATCTTTCATCACAGTGCTAATGACATCCTACAAGGTGATAAAATTAGCAGCTGGAAAGTGTAATCTTGCCACCACGCTTCTCAATTTGCCATTCACTTCTTGCAAGCTGTTGTCCAGTTCATGCCACTTTCTCAACAAATTTCCAAATTGTTTGTTTGCTTAAATGCCCAAAGCATATGCTGCAGACAAGCCTTTATAGGACAAACATTTTCATTATTCTCACGAGACCTGTCTCACAAGAAACTTCTCTTGTCTCCATGATCACTATTACTTTATAAAGCTTGCTCAGATCACTTATAAAATTACGATTTCCAAATAATTTTCTTAGCTGTGTTTATTCTCAAACTGGCCTGATAACCACAGTCTCATTAAAATTTGCTGGTGGCTTGATCTTCTCTGGCAAAGGAATTTGTGCATTTGATAGTGTGAGCATTTCTCTCCATAATTAGAAAACAAATACAAGAGTACACAACTTCTTGGTTCAAAGAATTTCAAAACTGCTGAGAAAGGGAATATAACTGTTTCACTCTTGAAAATTCCAAATCCACAAAAAGAAAATACTAACTGAAAGTTCAAGATAAATTAGATTAAAAAATCTATCCAAAACCTCTTTCAGCTCATGAAACCATCTAGCTCTGCAACAGACAATAAAGTCCCTTCTACTGCCTTTACCATGCAAAGGCTGTTTTCAGCATTTTAGAAGGCATGCTGGAATACTTTGAATGGCTTTGAGATTTTTTTGCCCATCTCTGACTCTTCTCTGTGAATTCCTTACAAAGAATATTATCATGTCATTTTCCTGCAGGGAAATCCCAGGCTGAAATTACATGACTCATTCAAACACTGCAGTCCACTTGCCCAAGTTATCTGCCTTGCCACCAGAAATCCATGCTGCCATACAAGAATTGCTAGGCTACACCTCAGAAGTCAGATAATACTAGACAACTAAGGGAGTCCAGAGAGTGTTCAAGCTGATGCATGTGTATGCTTTCCTCAAACTTCTTCAATACACATATTACACTAAGCTGGATTTGTTCTAAACTCTCATTGATTCACTGCATTTGGACTCACATTCAGCTCCCAACTTGCACTCCTTTATTTACAGCATTCATTAATTAATTTCAACAGTAGTATAATAGTAGAGCAAAGCACAGTGCTGTGTGAAAGCTAGCTCAGGGACTGAAAAGGGAATAGCTGCGTAGCACAGAATGCCATGTTCATGTACTTTGTTACTCTTGTAAACTATCCTTTTCAGCAGGGCAAGCTGGCAGAATAGCTGCTATGCTGTAGGTCCAATCTGGTCCAAAAAGTAAATGTAATGATCTTCCCCAAATTCCAGGGGACAGCCCCAAATATTCCATTTCTCTGACTCCCATCCTAGTCTACTCTTAGTGAACGAGACAGACTGGTTGTCTTTTTACACAATAGGAACCTAATTTAAAACAGGGTGCTACCAAACAAAAGGCAGTTGTAAATTATATGATCAACAGAAAATGTGTTCTTGCCTAATTCACAACAAAGCAAAGGGAAGTAAAAGAAATAAGGAGTGCTTGGTGGCAGAATGTAGCACTGGTCTTTTAATGCCCAGGACCCGCTTATTAAAAGATGTTGCTAAAATAAACCTTTTAAAAGAAGACAAATTGGATGTGTGCAATTAAGCTGGGGGATGCTGACTAGACAAAGCACATTTTTAAAAGTTTGCTTCTCTTGCACATTTTGTGAAGGAAATTAGAATACTTTGGCTAATATTTTGCCAACACTTATTTTTCCTTTCATTCAAGAAGGAAAAGGACATTATTCCAAGGAGTTGTAAGGTAAGCCATAGAACATAGATCCCTTAGCAGCGAATAAGGTGAACCAATGGAGCCAGAAAAAGGAAAAAGATACTTTAAAATGTGTTTACATATTTAATACTAATGGAAGCATATTTGCAAAAATGGGTATTAGTGGTGTTTATATGCTAAATGCAGTTTTAATGTTCTGAGAAGAGCAACGCACACAAAACCCTCAAACATGTCAGGAAGATCAAACATATTTGAAAAATGGGGTAAAGTTTCAAATTGATAGGTTTTAAATCAGGATCAGATAGAAGAACATAACCCCCAGAAGGTTCTGATTTGCCGATTTCCATTTTCTACTTTTCTCTTTTCTACCTAGTAGTTCATACAAGCCTTTGATTTTTTCATAGATGCAGTGCTATTGTCAGTGAATAAATTCATGCAGACAAATGGTTCCGAGTACCAACAAAAATACTGAGCTCTACTAGCTTATGATGAATTCACAAAGATCACATCTTTGGAGCATTTTTCTTTCATGCTTTGGAGCATTTGCATTCATAGAGCACCAAAGCCTCTCAGGAATTTGGGTTCACAACTGTTCAAAGGCAGAGCCAGAACTCTGGCTGTGTGCAACCAGGCCACCTATGTGGTTTATATGACAACAGGGAAAGGTACTCAATGACAGAGTATATCCTATATTTTTAATAGCACTCTTACATTCTCTTGGTTTCAGTGTCACAATCTCTCTTAAACACAATACTTGGGCACAGACCCTCAGTGTTGAACTTCATCTAGTCTTACTGCTAAGTACATGATTCTCCTTGTTTCATGCAAATACTTACTTCCCATTGCTTGATAATTAAATATATTTGCTTAGAAGCTGGTAAAGCAAATGTGGTTTATGCAACAAAATTTTATGAAAACAATTAATTTGCTTTAGTCATTTTCCCTCTGTATTACCATGAGAAAATAAAATTGACCCAATTGTTTTGTTTACAGTGTAGCTAAATGACAGAGGTGCTATAACATTCATTGCTTTTACAAGTAATGAAGTCACAGAAAACACTGGAGTAGCCTGAACTTATTTTCTTTTAGGGCTGACTACATTAATACACTTACTGAAGGAGGGGACGGTAATGATCCAGGCAGTACTTATCAGGACAAAATTAGTAATGATATACAATCCCAGTGGTTTAAAAGTAAGGAGTTCCAATTCTAACAGAAGTCCTAGTAATGCCCTGGTTTTAAGTCCGAGTGAAATCCCTGTATGTAACCCTCCAAAACAGCTTAGTATTAAAAAAAAAAAAAAATAAAAAATCCAAAAACCTGAACTGGACCCAACTTTTACTGTTCAATGTTCATATATTAATATGTTTAGATATTCATGCCCTCTGCACAGTTCCAAAGGATTGATCATGAGGAAATTTGTTGAGAAAAGGCAAAAAGCCCAGCAAATTGGAAACTGTAGGGTGGGGTGGGGGTTTTTTGTTGTGTTTGGGTGGGTTTTTTTCAAAGTTCTAATGATGCAGAAGCTGCATTATAATCTCCCTGTGAACCATAAACATAATAAAAGCTGAGGCCATTTCTAACATAATCTCTATCAGCAAGATGCCAGCGCTTTTCCAGATTTCCTAACGGGTCCCTGCTAATTCCATGCCAAAACTAGCAGTGGATTTCTTCCTTTTAATCTCCCCTAATGCCTTATTCGATTATTGTCACTGCTCTCCGACCGCGCACCGTCCCTTCCAACCCTAATTCCCCCCTGGAACCGTCAGAGGAGGCTGAACGGCGGCGGCGGATCCGAGGGACACACACGGCCACAGGCAACCCCCGCCTCCCCACCGCGGGCAGAGGCCGGCCCAGGACCCCGGGGAAGGGGGGGAGCCCGCCGGACTCTCCGGTATCCTCACCCGGA